TATATGTTCGAGACCAATTAAATAGACTTGGTATGCATGGGTGCGTTTGTTTGCCTGGTCCAGCGGGTCCACTGCGCCTGTGGGCTGCAACGAGAGGTTTTTGTTTGCCTGAACCCCCTTTCTAGCCCGGCCCGCACGGCCATTAAAGCAGGCCTCAGCCAGGCCCCAGGGATTCGTTCCTCCCGGGCTCGACTCGAGCGGGTGCGGTGCGTGCGATTGCCTTCCTTCCCGTCACCTTCCTTCTTGTTACATCCCTTCTTGTTCCTGTGGGAAACAAGCCGCATGAGGAGGTGACTCATCGGCGACGACCATGGAGCGGCGGTGGCGGTGTTCGAGCGCCCACAGGAGCCGCACAAGCTGCGGGGGCACTGGCACAAGCTGTGGGGTGCCGTCCTCGCTCACCACGCTCGCGGCGCACGATAGCGCGCGGCTCCGCGTCTGGTGTGCCTCCCTTGGCTTTGCTTGTCTCCTTGCCATTGCCTCCTTTGGTCCTCGCCTTTGGCAGCTGGGCGGCATGGCTCACTCGTACTCGTTCGGTTCGGTGACCGGTGCGCTGCGGAGTTCGACTGATGGCGCCCATGCCGGCGGTGCTGGTGGCCAAGAAGCTGAGCGAGGCTGGGCTAGTCATGCTGCAGAGTTTGCGGACGTGGAGTGCCTATGGCATATCCCTGGCCGAGCTCTTTTGTCGTGTTGGGGCTCGCCCTCCATCCCAAGCGCGAGGGGGAGCAGCACAGGGGCACACGGCAACAGCAGGGAGCGAGGAAGAAGAAGATGTGGTTGAGATGTTCACGCCAACGAGGTGCTCGATGAAATGCCAATGAGGTGAGGAGGAAGAAGGTGTGGTGGTAAGTGTACCATATTCCTGATGCAGGGTAACCATATACATTGACTCAGACAAACAAACACCAGCTCGCCCTCAGCTAGCCCCAACTGCATCCAGACAAACAAACGACCCTAGTTGCACCTCCTAGGGCTGCCTCCCGCTGCCTAGGCCCAGCTAGGACGTGTCGGCCATCCTAGTCCAGGCAAACAAACAGGCCCTATAAGTCTGTTCTTATAAGTTGTCTCTTTCCTTCGTAAGAATGTGCTATATTACATGACATTATTATATGTCTAAGATCAATTAAATAGACTTGCCTGTATAAATTAGCTCTCCTACGAGATGTTCAGTTGATGGTTTTTGTGGTTGATAAACTGGCTGATGCTGTTTTATTGTGAGAGAAAACACTATACCATGGTTGATAAGCTCGGTTGATGGTTTCCTTCGTGCTTTTTACAAGGGTTTTCTTTCGTGCTTTACTCACCTCCTGTCCCCCTCTCCCCTGTGCCCATCGTAATAAAAATAAGATGCTTTTACCTGTATGCCATTATAAAAGATTGCAATTGCCTACAAGCCACTAAAAAGTTCGAGCGGTCATAGGTGTCACTGCTCGAAAGTTTTTTGTCGTCCACGCCATTCCGTCGACATCTGCTACTAACGGTGTCAAATGGAGCCACGAAAAGTCAAAACTACCCTGTGGCTGGAGTACCTTGCTGAAAGTTGTGTTTTCCTCCCATGCCACTCTCTAGTCCTGTGGCTTTGGCATTCGTCTGACAGTGTCAACTTGGGGCTTAATTAGCCGCTAATATGAAGCGCAAATGACCCTGACCCCTTAATAAAAGTCGTAGAGCTTAGGGGGAATGACAACTTTGTTGCAGTGGCCCAGACCGAATCAAAGTGAAATATGCCGCAAATGAGATTCCAAGATGCCTACTCGGGCATCTGGCCCAAAAGATTATCCACATACAACATAGAAGATCACCAAATAGCAGACGGGTTTGGATACCTAGGCTCACTCACAAGTACAGTAAAGCCTATTATGCTTTTATAAACCAAGCAAGTTTTGCTTTATATTAGCAATTTTATAGCACCATAGGACCGATGCCCTTAGTACTGCTTTGTGAATCATAATCAATCTTTTTTTTCTAAGAATCCTCTCACTGCAGATTAGCCTGTAGGAGGCCATCTCTTATCTGCACCACTACATCCTTGATAGCTCTAGGACCATGGGGGATGAACACTAAAGAGGACTTGGAGGAGGCCCCAATCTCCTTCATGGTGTCGAAGTACTGGACTACTGGGTGACCAAGACCATGTCCATGATGTCCTTGGCTATGTTGCCTGGAACCTTCTTTGAGAAGACGAGCACACTGTCCCTCAGCCCGTCCACAATGGCCTGACGCTGCCTTGCAATACCCACGCCAGCCAGCCATCCAGGCATTTGGATTCCACCACTCCTTCGGCTTTCTTGATCTGGAGTATCTTCTCAGCCGCAGCGCCAAACCAGCCCCGCTGTCGTGTCCTCCACGCACGGCGCAAGCTCGCCGAACTAGCTGGCATCAGGGGCCAACGAATGCCGCCACGTGGCCGCAGCTAGTTCACCACCAAGAGCTTGCTCCTCCAAGCCTCCTCCACCCTAAATGGCTGCTCCCTCGCCTTCCCCATCTCCCCGCATGTGCGCCGCTCTCCATTCCTGTTCACCACCGACGCCGGAACACCCTAGGCCGCCACTGGTCTGCTCTCCGTCGTGCCACAGGCTCGCGTGCCCAGGAGGCCACGGCCATCGCAGCACGAGCTGAGGCCCCTCGTGGGTGCGGCCTACTATCGCACGCGGCCGCTGGCCGCCACCGGTCGAGATTTGGCAAGCCGAGCCCGATCCCCTACCGCTGCATCCGTTGAAGAAGAAGGACGCGCTCGCAATAGAAACGATGGCATGAGCGAGTAGGGGAGCGACTCAAGCAGGCGGCGGCGGCTCCAGCAAACAACAACCAGAGCGAGCAGGGGCGCGGCGCGAGCAAGCGACGACGGGGCAGCGGCATGGCCCGGCGAGAAGCAGTTGGTGGAGGGCGATGCGGGAGGAGGCGGTCGGGGTGGGCTAGCACGGGTAGGGAAGTGGCCCCGCGGGGTGGAGGATGGCGCGAGAGGATGCTACGGGCGGCCAGGTGGATCAGGTAAAGGAGAAGAGGAAGGAGAGGATAAGGTACGGAGGGAGAGGGGCATTTTAGACATCTTTACTGACCGGGCCCACATGTCAGGGTAGCTAAACGGTGAAAATTGGACGAGAGATGGACGGAATGGCGTGGGCGACAAAAAAGTTTCGGTTAGTGACATACGTGACCGCACAAACTTTTTAGTGCTTGCAGATAATTACAATCTCCTACAACTAAACATAATAAAGTGTAGACATTTTTTGGTGCGACATTTATTTTGGTTCGTCCGTCTGCCCACGCCTGCGATCCCACGACATCTTAATTACTGATTGATCGTGCCATTCTCCTTGATTGAATATTGCCTATCATGTGATAGAGAAATCACAATAAAATAGGAAGTAGAAAATTATTGTGCTATCTATATACACATTGCATGTTTGCATGCACCAGTATACATGGCAACAAGCAAAACGAAAGAGAATTAACACAGAAGGAAAGAGAATTAAGATAAAAAGAACATCTTTGCATTTCTGAGAATCTTGCCAAATCTGTCTATATTTAATTACTTCCCATATTTGCATTTGCAAAAGGGACAACTTTTTCCTCTTTTCATTTGGTTTCACGCTCACGTGTTCCATCGCCCTCGCTTGCTGTTTCTTGCGTGAACCATAGTTGATGTCATCTGTCTTCCATGGCTCAGCCTCCCAATCCCAAGAGAAGGTCCCTACCTCTCTTTGACTGGAGATCTGGTTTGCCAGAGGATCTCCTCAAGTCCATCGGGCAGCGTCTCACGTCAGGCCACGACGCGGCGTCCTTCCGATCCGCTTGCTCCCCATGGCGCGCCGCCGTCCCGTTCGCGACCTTCGGGCCGCTCCTGTTGCTCCCGTTCCACCCCGACTCGGACCGCGTCGGCTTCTACTACGCCCTGGAGAAGAAAGTCTTGTCCAAGACGCTGCCCGACGTGCGTGACAAGGTGGCGTGCGGCTCCTCGTGTGGGTGGGTGGCGCTCATGGACAAGGCGGCGTTCGTGACGCTGCTGAATCCATTCGCCGGTGCCCGTGCCCCCCGCGTTGAGCTCCCGCCAGCAGACGAACACGTCGCGGCGGCAAGACAAGTTCTCCGTGGGGTCCATCGTCCACTGCTAAGACAAGTTCTTGGTGATCAACTGCACTAGAGAAATCTTCGTCTGCAGCAGCAACATCGGCGGCGCTACTCCAACCGCGACGCTGCTGCCATCGCTGTCGCCACCTGCAGAGCTCTACCACCACAACTACCTGAAATCAAATGGTGAGCTACACATTGTGGGTGGCATGGTGAGCACATTCCACGAGACACAGAGCTTTACCTACAGCAGCGCGATCTACAAGTGCAACCTCCATGACCATACGCCGGAGTGGTCCAGGGTGAGGGACATCGATGATCAGACACTGTTCGTGTCTAAACATTTCAATGAAAGCTTCAGTGGAACAAGTGTATCCAAGTACAAGGAGAACAAAATCTACATGTCTGAGCCATTGTATGGGGATTTATATGACTTGGTCCATCGACTAGAGATTGTTGATATTGCTACCGGCGCATCCGAAGTGAAGCCCGTCCAGAAAAAGATGCAGGGTTCCGAGGCTCTAGGTTGGATTCGACCCAATTTCTGAAAGCTCTAGAGTTTATGAGCCTGCGACACCGCGCACTCCGTGACTATGTTAAATTCATAAACTTTATTTTTTTATTAAATATCATTTTAACGTTGGTATTTAATTTAATAATATTGTTATCATGTTATCCTTGTGTTTTTTGTGTTTTTAGTTTAAATTGTTAGTCTGACACGGGCACGCTGCCTACATGTAAATGCCTCTAAAAATAAAATCAATAATAGAGAGAGAGAGAGAGGAGGTAGCAACAGCGGTTGCTTAATCCCTTCTTTTTCCTCCTCTTATCTCCAGCGCACCTCAAGAGGCGGAAAGGGAGGAGCGGAGCGGCGAATTCTTGTTTTTTCCCCCCAAGACAAGATGTCTTCTCCAAGCAAGCGCCGGGAGATGGACCTCATGAAGCTGTAAGGATTCTGGTGGCGTGTTTCGGTGATTTTTCTATGGGATTTCGATGGGGATTCCTTGATCTGTGTTTCTACTGCCTGTTGATGCCTGCAGGATGATGAGCGACTACAAGGTGGAGATGGTGAACGATGGGATGCAGGAGTTCTTTGTTGAATTTCGTGGGCCTAACGAAAGTACGGATTTATAACGCAAAAGGCCGATTTAGGTTTTCTTTCTAGGGCCGATGATTCTGTAGCTCCTGATTTATGATCTATATAGACCGAAGTGCAAGTTTTCAGAAAGTTTAGAATTTTTTCTTGATCGTTGTGGCGTTTATCTTCCACTGCTGTAGGCCTGTAGCTTAAGAATAGATTTGATCAGATTCCAAATTTTAACTTGTTGCTGAGCTGCTTTTGCTGCATATGCTGTCTTTACTATCTGAATGCTGCACTTAAAGCTTCAGTCTTGTTGTGCACTAGTGATTTAGGAGGACTGGCTGCACTATCTGAAGGATACTTTGCTGAATTGAATAGGCATTTATCAAGGAGGTGTGTGGAGAGTTAGAGTAGAGCTGCCAGATGCGTATCCTTACAAATCCCCATCGATTGGTTTCATCAATAAGATATATCACCCAAATGTCGATGAGATGTGAGTACTTTTGAACTCAATGATCCGTTACTTTGCCAATTCAAACCATGATAACAATCTAACTCCTAACCACTTCTGGATGAATGCAAACTGCAGATCTGGTTCAGTCTGTTTAGATGTCATCAACCAGACATGGAGCCCAATGTTTGGTAAGATTGGTCTTTGCATTTCATTATTAGTATGGACAACCAGTTAATTATCTCCATGCCTTATCTGTATACAGTTAGAGCTCCATGTCTTGTACTCAATTATAACAGGGTTAGCTTTGAACCTATGTGTGATATTTTGCAGATCTTGTCAATGTGTTTGAGGTCTTCCTTCCACAACTTCTGTTATATCCTAATCCTTCTGATCCATTAAATGGAGATGCAGCTGCGTTGATGATGCGTGATCGCCCTGCTTATGAACAAAAAGTGCAAGGTAATACACTATGTACTAGTGTATGTTTATTACTGCCTTGTTCTAAACTTGGTTGGAGATTTATTAAAACATTTAACAATGACATTGAAAGTTGGGATACTATGTACTGAATTTCCTTTGCAGTTTGCACTCCCTTGTGAACTAGTAGAATGTGGGATAATTCATCTCCTTGACATACATGGACTGATCAATTTAATTTACCTCACTACATTCATTTTGATGGCAAACCATTTTAAGTAATAAAAATATCTTCAAGAATACTTCAATACTGGTTTTAGGTATGAAATAAAAAAACTTCCAAAGAATGTGTTGGTTTATTGTAGGCGCTCTATGTGCAATGATTATTTCAGTATACCTAAGTAATAGCCGCCTCTGCTCTGCTCTCGTGCTGCGTCTGCTCTGCTCTTGCGCCGCCAACTGAGCGTGAGAGAGATGACCACGGAGCAAGATGATGTTCGGTGGGACGAGCAGGTTCGGCTAATTGGAACGAGCGAGCTGCCGAGCTCACCCCGAATCTTACCCGTATATTCCCTCCAAGGAATCGCTCCGCTCTGCTCGTTCTGCAACCAAACAGCCGTGAAAACAGGATGGAACGGCTCCATCCTAGTTCGCTCCTCAACCAAACACATCCTAAGCTACCGTGTGGTCTGAGTGAGTTTCAGATGTGGAGGTCCATTAAATTTTTTAGTTGCCTAGATGAGCAGGTCCCTGTATCTGGTTGGGACTTGGGATGGCACAGGATGTGCTGTTTTATTCTTGATGGGATCAGGGGAGAATGCAATGGGTTTATTTGATTTCAGTTATCGAAGGCCTCATTTAAAATATGAATACATAAGGAATTTAATTAGAGAAATAATCAACCTACCAGGCTGCCACTTTGCACGATGTGTTTAGCTATTAAGAGCTTAATTGTTTCCAGTGGTTCCTCTACTAGAATATTATTCCAGCCGATCGTTGATCAAATGAAACATAACCATTTTTGGCGTTTATTGAATTACACTCTCTTCCTTGGTTTCTTTTTTTATGTTTATTGATATTGAATCACACAGTCTTCCTCAGTACTTGAAAGCTCAGTTTTCCGTTTCACATTTTTCTTTAGAGTACTGCAAAAAATATGCCAAACCAGAGGATGCTGGTGTCATCCCAGAAGACAAGTCCAGTGACGAAGAGCTGAGTGAAGATGAAAATGACTCGGGTGATGAGGAGATAATGGGCAAACCAGACCCATAGTCAAGTTGGAACCTATACCTGTAATCTGCACACAATGTTTATTGCAGCAACTGCAATTAAACAGTCCTTGAACGTTCCCGTGCAGTCTGAATGCCATGTAAATAAACTGCAATTTCATGTTCGCTAATGTTATTTCCATCTCCAGTTGACCAATTGGATTTACAGCATCACTATGTCCTCATACCAGGAGTGTAGGTTTGTTCATTGGCTAGTTGTTTTAAAATTTGTGCAATCTTTAGCACAAGCAAATTCCTCAATGCGTGCAATAATTCATGAACCTTTTAAAGTCAGTGCATAGGTAATGCGCTATTTGAGATATTGGCCGAGGATGCAATCTGCTGCTGCATGAACTGATATAACCTGGAGAATCTCTTCAAATTATTGTGGGGGATTAGTGCTTCATCAGCGTTGCATTGTGGAGATTAGTGCTCCATCAGTCACAGTGTTTGCATTTAACCGTGGTACCATATTTGACAGTCAACCTGGGCTTATCAGCCAACCAAGAGTATTTTTTTCTCACAACAAACCAACAACAGTCGGGTTTATCAGCCCAGAAACCAACCAGCGAACAGACCGAGTATCTGCAGTTCTGCACAACATAGCTATCGTATAAAGTTGGATAACATAAGATCAAATAGTGAAGCTTTGAAATTTCCTCCTTTTCTTTAGAAGTAACACGAAATTAGGATATGCTTGTATTGTAAGCAGCGGTAGGAAAGAGATTAAAAAGTGAAGCATTGAAATTTCCTCTTGTTTAATTGAAAAGTAGTAGCACATTGAGAGTTGACCTTGATTGATACATAATAATAGTAATATAATATGCAAATCAACATGGCTTCCATGCAACTCGAAGATCAGAAGGCACATGGAACATGCAAGTAATTGGCATCAATCCGTTCGCATCGTGCGATAGTGCTTTGGTGAGCCACGCTTGATCCGTTGGGGGTGCCCAGGGCCCAAGCAAACCGTCTCCTCACTCTAGTCACATGGCAAGAATGGCGTGCCGAGTGGCACTCGCCGCCGCCGTCCTCCTGTGCGCGGCCGCGGGGGCGGCCCTGGGGGCGAAGCGGGCGCGCATCCCGGACGACCTGCGCGACGTGATAGACGACGACGAGGACGACGAGTGGCGCCATTATGGCGGGCCCTCGTCGCGGGGCCCGGGCCGTGGCGACGGCCCGCCGCCTGACCTTTCAAAGATGGATCCGGCCGCCCTCCAGGCCGAGCTCCTCCGCGGCCAAACCGGCCCGTCGTTCGGCTTCGTGAAGCTCCGCCCCGGCACCGCCCGCTCACAGGTGTGGATCCCTCGACCTCGATCGCCGCCACGGCCGCGCGCTCGTCGCCTCGTTTGACCGTGTCGTTAAAAATTCTGTTTTTTTTTAATTTCAGGAGGATGTGGTGGGGATCGCGACGAGGTGGAGCAATGTGCTGCGGACGGGATCGGTGGACGCCAAATTCGTGGCGGTTAATTTCGGAACGCTCATGTTCACCATGGAGAGAGGGCGAGACATTCTAGAGGTTGGTGCTTCCTTCCTTTGGATTGGCCATTTTCTTACAATGGCAGTAAAGTTGGGGCAGAACAGTGGTCTTTTGATCTGGAAAAAAAATGGTGGTCTTGATCTGACCAGTTCACCTGAAAGATTAGACGTTAAGAAAAAAAGTGAGCAACTTAGTTCAACAATCTCATTCACGTTGTGGACTCACGGGCTGGTGATGTGGACTGCAATTACCTTTCCCTGAAATTGTGTTAGCTACATATCATACTCATACTGCATATTGGACAGTTGATCCTGAATTTCAATTTATAAGAAAAGTGAAGCGATATGCTTCATCACTGCCTAGCACGAGCTGGATAAGTTTTCATCATTTCATTGTAATCTATGCATGGTCCATGGCATGAAAATCTTATACGAAAATTAGACGAAAACACAGGTCTACTCATGTCTATTTATCCCATGACTCATTCACTTGAGCGTTATTACAGCTCAATGGTAGAGAGCACATTTTGTCATTGGTGAAAATGATGGCACTTCTGTAGCCATTCTACCATCTCTTTAGGACGACCATTCTATCATTTTCAGAGGCTCAGTGCACAGCATGTAAAATTGAGGGCCGAAACAACCTAGAAACATGATTTCCTTCCAGATTTACAGATAAGATTCGTTTTCCTTCCCAGTCTGCTCAAATGTTTATAATTCCTCTCTCTCTTTTCCCTGGTTTCAGCTGAAGGAGTTTATCCTGAGTCAGGCCGAGGCCTACGAGTTTAAGATCGGTGATCAAATTTTCCGCAGGCCTGGAGACCCACCCCTGGACCAAGTTCTTGAGAAGCCACAGAAAAAGAAGCAAGTTCTTGACAAGCCACAGAAAAAGAAGCGTCATAATTCTAGAGATGAACTGTAGATTCATTTGCTAATTTGTTCTACATGTCCTGTTCTTTTGTTCGTTCGTTCTTCTCTTTGGTCTACTCAGTTTTGCTCCCATAGCAGTTTTACCTTGTGCAACCTGACAAAATCACAGGTAGTGGACTAGTGGTCCTCCTTGCCAAATGGTCTGTGTTACTGCTGCTGTATTGTAACCACCGTGCTGCTCCCCTCCCATTCTGAATGCAAGAAGGCAACCGTCCTTGATCAGAGTCTTCTTCACTTCAGTCTCGCCACTGCCTGATGTTGCCCGTTGCTGTTTGTCGGTCCATTTCCTGCAGTCTGCTGTAGCCTTTTTGTAGAGGCGGTTAGGATCTCTGGACCATTTGAAGCCAAAACCCCTGATCCAGAGAAGACGGGTGTACTGGCGTGATCGGCGACCAACAGCGACGTCATTGCCCGTCACTGAAAGAGAAAAAAAGAGTAGCGTAGCGACCACCGGGCAACCAACAGCGACGCCTGCCGCTGCCGCAGCCAAGCCACTGTCATCATGTGTGCATGATCTGCCCATGCCCAACGCGGTGTCTCTTGTGCAAGGCACTGCACTGCGCGCTGGCCACCCTTTGCCGCCGCCGAGGAGGCTTGGGATATCTGCAACCTACTGTTTCCTCCAACCATCCACACTTCCGCACCTCCGCGTCACCTGCAAGCTTAGATCCCCGGCGCCCATCCCTCCCAGATCCTTCCCAGATCAGGAAGAAGATACGAGCGGCCGCCTGGAAAAATATCTCGGACTATCTGGCCCGCCTGCATGCGTTCTGGACCGCGCACACGGCACGCGCGCGCCCGGCCCTCCGCCGAACAGAGCGGCACGGCGAGGGCCCAGGGCCAGTCCCAGTCCCATGCCGGTGGCGTTCGCAGCTGGCGAACGAAACGCTCGGGCGGACGCGGACGCAACGCAAACCAGCCCGCGCCCGGCCGGGTTCCCCCGGCAAAACACACGTCGCGATCATGGGCGCGCCACGCGGACGCGGACGACGCGCGCCGCCAGCCCGCCACACGGACAAGCAACGGGAGCACGCACGGGGCCCGCCCGCCGGCGGGGTACGGTGGGCGCCCACTTGCCACGGCGTCGATCGTCCAGGGACCGAGCTGCGCGCGTGTCCATGCACCAGGCCGTCGGTGCCCGATCCGACGGCTCCTGTGGAATTCTAGGACGTGCGCGTGTCGTCTGGCGTGTCTTGTTGAGTGCTGGCCAACCTCTTGTGCTTCCTTCCAAGCTTCCACCGAATCAGACGACAGGTCTAGCTAGCGGTAGCAGCATCTGCTAGTAGCAAGCTGGAGATAGGAGGAGAGGCCGGAGACTTGTCTTGGCGCCCAATGCAAGCACGATTTCCACGGCCAGAGATATCTTGGGGCGGCGTATTATAAGTCCTCTGCCCCTGGCTGGTCACTTCCACCGGAAGAAGAGACGCGCAGATAGCTGCTTCGCGGATCGAATCGCATCCATATATCAGTTATCAGCTGCGCTTCAGCCTGCAACCGGAAACGTACGTGCAGCCTTGTGCATCGGGCGGAACTGGTTGGGTTATCGCTCGGGTTCGTCGGAGCGCGCACACGCAGGCGCAGCTTCGTTCACCTATCGACGATGGGCGTCGCGTTCGGGTGCTTCGGAGGCTGCGTGCAGAAGAGCGACGGAGGCCGGCAAGGTACGCGCCACTGCATCGACGTTCGTGCATTGTATTCCATCAGCATTTGTCATGGACCTCATGGTGTGTGACACGTACGTATAGTAACGCATTTGTCATGGTCATGGTCACCACGGCGGCGGAGTCAGTCAGCGCCGGTTGGCGTCGCGTTGCGTCCGTGCATGCGTGTAGCGGCACGCCAGAACACCCGTTAACAATGTTGTCGCTTCGCTTTTACACACAGCAACGCGCAACCTTGTTACATTGTCATTTCTGCATTGTTAAGCAACTCAACCCGCCATTTAAAATGCACCTGTAGATATCCAATATCCATTCACGAACCCTAGCCTGTTGCACTACTAAAGGTCTCTTGACCAGGGGAAAAAATGGGTGGTAGCATGTTCAAGTGTTTCAAAGCATGCATCCACCAGCATCATCCTCAAGGTGGCTGGCTTTAGATCGATCCTTCATTCATCATGCGTGCCTTCATCTCTGTTGTACAGTAGTATACATGAATGCAGGCATGGCACTTGATCTCTGTTGCTAAACTGTGTTTGCGTTGGAATGCAGCAGTGCAGGACCCCAAGCCCGTGATGGAACCGTCGTCGAGCTTCGACTTCCGGGAGGAGTACACCAGCGCGTTCCGCACCGAGTCCTACAACGACTTCTGGGCGCGCGTCCTGGACATCACCCTCGCGCACGGCGCGGGGCTGGTGCCGCGCCCTGGCGGCGGCGGCGGCGGCGTCACGGCGTCCAAGCGCCTCCCCTCCTACCGCCTCTTCGCGGAGCAACTCCTCGAGCCGGACCAGCGCGCCGTCCGCGCGGCCCTCGCCTCGCCCCGCAGCGGCCAGCTCCACCCCAGCGTGCGCGACCTCCTCGCCACCTACTACAACGAGACGGCGAGCGCGTCGTTCCTGTGCAGCCACCTCCTCAGGGACATCGAGCAGATCCGCCTCCGGTACCACCCGCTCAAGACCACGCTCCGCAAGCTCGCCCGCGACGTCGGGGTGTCCAACCTCGCCGACGTCTCCGCCGCCCTCGGCCAGCCCTTCGCCGCGCTGGCCGTGTCGCAGGGCAAGCTCCGGCAGGTGCAGCTCAGCTCCGCCGACCTGCTCAGGAGCCTCGACGCCAGCAGGAAGAAGGCGCGGCTCCGGATCAAGAGCCTCGCCCGGCTTAGGCAGCTGCTCTCGGCCTCCTTCATCACCGTAGTCGCCGCCGTGGCCGTCGTGGGCGCGTTCATCGGCGTGCACATCCTGGCCGCGTTCGCCGCGTTCCCGATGATGTCGCCGGCCTTGCTGGGCCTCTTCTCCGGCCGATCGGTGCGGCGAGCACTGGTGCAGCTGGAGGCCGCGGCCAAGGGCACGTACATACTGAACCGGGACATGGACACCATCAGCCGCCTCGTGGCGCGGCTGCGCGACGAGGGGGAGCACATGCTCGCGCTTCTGCAGCTGTGCGTGGAGCACCGCGTCGCTGCCGGCGAGAAGGGGAGGCTGGTGCAGGAGGTGCTGAAGCAGCTGTGCAAGAACGAGGAGAGCTTTAGGCAGCAGCTGGACGACCTGGAGGAGCACCTCTTCCTGTGCTTCATGACCATCAACAAGGCCAGGAGCATGGTCATGAATTTCATAGCTGGCGCAGAGCACAACTCTAGTTGACCACAAGAAAGAAAGAAAAAAGTGTTTGTAGAAAGGTTATAGCTTGTGTACATACTAGTTTTTATTTCTCAGTACAGGGAAAAAGAGAGCAAAAAAAGATAGGCCAAGATTTCCGAACACTAGCCATTGCACTTCTCTTCGATTTTTTCTACGCATAAGCAGCAGATTGCAACATTCGAAATAGTAACCTGACTTAGGGTTTTACTACATGCACCTGCATATGTTAAATTTCAGTATTGTGAAGCTAAAAAAATCCACTCCAATGGATTTTTGACGATCCCAGAATACAACATCACGGTGCAACTACTGGGGCAAGTATACATTTATGGCTTTACAAAACTTATGATTTTGTAATAAATGGTAATTGAGCAAGTTTATCTGGTACACGAATGATAATCCAATGTAGTAGGGAGTAAGATCAATCAGGTGAAATTCTCCCTTCAGGTATCTTTCTCTCCACTCGGCCAGTCCTTGATGGAGGCCAGATTATGTGGGTAACCCTCCCCTGAACTAGACCTAAGGGAATCTGAAAAACAGCACAAATACAAAATAAGTCACACTGATGCAGCATAATTTGTCACTAACATATGGTATTGGTTTCTTATATATAGTTGTAATGAGTTGTCTGAACTATTGACAAAGGATGCATTCTTTGGGAAACAGCCAGAAGCTCAGAATTGAAAGCCAAGAATGAATTGTGCCCAATTTATGCTTTCTCGCCATCTCCTCTACTAACTGCTCACTAGTTGTACACCATGGAGACATTTGAACCGATGATTACTGAAGAAAACCACAGTGTCTGTCTAAACAAGCACACAACCAAGCTCATTGGTAGCAGCTTTATAAAATTATAACTCAATATACTTGGCAGTCAATGCAAGTTTTTTTCAGAAAAGGGACCAGATTTTGTTGCCAGTTCTATCGTCACAAAAGATTGCAATACAGCAACATAAATAGGAAGAAATCGCTGCAAGTTGTAGAGCCTCAAAGATTATCACCAAGGACACAAAGTGTGTGCTCCTAACCTGAGGTGCACTAATGTACTTGTCTGTTGTGCTATAGGTTGTCCTGACTGTCAAAGTTTTGCTTTATTCCCATTTTTTCAGTTTTTTTTGCTTCTCTTTGGTAAGTGCAAGCGGTAGAGTCTTATCGCCTGTGACCGGAAGGTCCCGGGTTCGAGTCGCGGTCTTCTCGCATTGCACAGGCGAGGGTAAGGCTTGCCACTGACACCCTTCCCCAGACCCCGCACAGAGCGGGAGCTCTTTGCACTAGGTACGCCCTCTTTGGTATCTAGTTCGTCTAGAGCTTGGTCCAAAGTGTTGCTTAGGAGCTTTCAGTTGCTACAACCATATGGTGTATCAATTTCATTTTCAGGCAAAAACTACAGAATAAGAAAAAATGCTTTGAAGAGGCAACAAGAGACAATTTATTATCTTGCTATAACTACAGATCCAATAGGCTATCAATTTAAAGGACCACAGTGCTAAATAACCATGTAAATCTGAATGTTCTAAGATATAGTACCTATAGCATTATTCTAAGAGATTCCAACAAAGATGAATGCAATACATATATTATTTAATGGTTTAATGATATTTCCAACCCAAATGCTCCACATCCACATATAGGCACCCAGTCTAACTTTAAAATGGCAGGGGATGAGGGGAGCATCTCAGCACTTTCACACAAAAGGAACGCTCCAGGAGTTTCAAATTTTTTATATCAAGAAGCTAAGGCTCAGATTCTTTCGTAAGTACCATTGCTGGTCACTGGCCTTTTCAAATCACACGCACATGCCCTTCGGATTGAAACAGGCTACAACAAGATCCAACCATGGAACCAAAAATCCCCATGACCATCAGTAATCGATGCAGAGCAGGAGCATTATATGCACTAATAAGTTTCATTCAGTCAATTCGACATGAGTCAGGGCACCTGAATAAGTAGTATAGATGTCAAGAAGAACAAACTTACCGGGCCGAATGCCCTAGAATCCCAGCTACGAGCAGAGTTATCACCTTCAACCCAGCAATGCCCTTCTGGGATCTTAGTAAGCTTAAGGGACCCAGGGATCTGTATCCACTCACCAGGAAGCCCAATCAACCTCTTCACAAACAACTGCTTATGATTGCTAGGGCACCTATGAGCACACGGGGAATGGTCAGCCAAGAGAACATGGAATAAGTCAGCGGCAATGACCTTTTCCCAAAATTACCCCGTCCTTACTTGAACAAAATCACATCACCATGTGAGAACTTGTACCGCTCAATGCACCTCTTTTCTGCTAAAACGAAATCACCTGGTTCCAACACCCTGGTCAGCATAAACCAGAAGACCAAACTATTTGAATATGGACTGCAGCATAACCTAGTTGTCCATTGCCCAATTGATATGTACGAATTGAAATCATAATACCTCCCCAGACGTTGCTGGCGGCGGTAAAAGTAGGAGACATGGATTCGCCAGTCACCGAAGTGAAGGTCACATAACGGTCGGAAATTGAGACGCCAATTACAACCGCCATTGCATTCCTCTTGGCTATTGACCAAAGATGGTTGTAGGTTCCCATGTTCAATTATCCGACCAACTATCTAGTCACAAGGATAAGGATAGCAACATTAAGTGAAAAAAAAACTGAATAACACTGCAGGCCAAGGAGTGAAGCATGCAAGAACTGCGTGTGATCAGGAACCCCCCCGACACACAGTCAGATTCAACTTAGAGCATGTGGAATCAATCAAGACTTACCAAACGATGGTACGGATTGGATTTACACCGATCCAACTGAGGGGCGAGCAGACTCAGCCGCTGGAGAAGCACCGGTACTATTTAAACTGCTGCAGAGTTATTACGGAGGAGACCGAGGTTGCCTCCGAAGAGGCGCCCGAGAAGAACAGCGGGGCGCCGTTGTCGTGGACGTGGTCGTCGGCGGCGCGGGGTTGGGGTTGGGTTGGAGCGCCTCTTCGGTCGGAGAAGATGGTGCGCACCCTACTTGAGGCCACACCAGCCGTCCGATCGCGCGACAACGGTGCAAATAAAAGCACGTTCTTTTGTTTCCTCGGTTACGGGGATATTTAACTTTTTACCATTATTACCAAAGCAGCTTTAGGCTTGGCGCTATGTTTTTAATATCGGAGAGATAAAAACGATACACATTTATCACTTTTACTCGTGTGCAACGCCAGCTCCGCTGTCTGGCTCGGATCCGAGTCAGCAGGGCGATGTAAAATGACCGTCCTGCCCCTGACGTCTGTATTACCTCGCGACCCACTCCACTCTCTCCCATCCGCTCCCCTTTCTCCTTTCTCTGGTCCGCGCGCGACGCCCGCCAGCCACCGCTGTCGCGCCCAACGCCGCCCCCCACCGCGAGCCATGTCCCTGTCCCATTACGCCGAGTCATCTGGAAGGGCGAGGAGTCGGGTCCAAGGTGCCTGGAGCTCCCACATCGCCTCCATCTGTGTGGATTCAGTAGGTGAGTTGAGCAGCTTTCCGTTGATCTCTTGCTCGGACTGCGGCCTTGCTCGGGTGGTGGAGGGGCGAACCAAGAAGGATGGTGATAACCACGGGCGTCTGTACTTCAAGTGTGCGAGGAACGGGGTGAGTTCTGTGTACTGCCCATCCCCCATTGTCACGGTTAGGGTTCTAACTTTGGGTTTTTTTGAAGTTTCCCAAGCTGTGTTGGTACTATATATTCGAAAAGCAGTACTTCAAGCAGTTGAAGGAGAAGGGCATCATCCAGGTTCGCCCCTCCAACTGGGCAGAGTTGGTGGATCATGAAGGTGCGGAGGCTAGGATGCAGGCGTGTGTATGAAGCCCGGAGGGCTAACCCTTTGGTTTTATAGGGGCGACGGGTACGAGAAAACCAACCGCCCACCTAGATCTCCAAGCCTGTCACGACCTGTCACCACGTCTCATCGCGGGGCGTGCGCATGCAACCTATATCCGTCCCCTCGAAAAACGCACCGGACGTTTCGCCTCCCATAATGGGCCACGACCCATCACAGGTAAGAGGGATACGTAACTAAAAATGTTCCTACGGCCCGTTTAAGCCTAGGAGTTCGAAGGTTAGCCCACCGACGGGTTCGACAACCACTCCGGGCACTTTTAGAGTGAGGGTGGAAAGGGATGGGCTCGTTAGGCCCAATACCCGGGCGCACGAGCGCCGTGGGCATCCCGGCCCATGTTCGAGTCTCGGGCGGATTCGATCCATGGGTTTTTCTCGAAGAAAGGCAGAGAGCCCTCGAGACCGATCGAACGGACCTGAGAACTATATGAATTGACCGCTGAAAATCTAGAGTCGGTCACCAGCTGACCCAAGCTGGACCCCCGCGAATTGGATGTCGGGGCCCCACTCGGACTAGCTCGTTAACAACTCATCGAGCATCATGGCTCGTCCATAGAGGAAAATCATGGTACGGCTCAGCCCTCCGTTTTTATCAGAAAAAACGATTGAGGGAAGACGATCATGAAGACGAGCCGACCCTCAATGGGACCCCTGCTACGTGCGGAGGCTCGAGGAAAGTTGGACTCGCAGGGAGATCGAACGCACGGTCACAGAACAACAGGCCCCCGTACACGCCATAGGCGACAAGAAAAGACCAAGGCCCTCAGAGTCCTCTTGTTCGGAAAAGCCTCCGAAGAAGTATTCTACTTCTCCGTAGGCTCAGGGGTTACTGTCGGCTACCAATACTAGGGTACCCAAAGAGGATGAGCAAATGGTCATCAATATTGATTCAACCGAGCAGACAAGAGCGCCTACAACTCCAACCGACCCCAGGTGCGCGGGCTTCGCCTCGCCCAACCTCTAGGAGCAGGCTCTGCCTCGCCTGACCCCTAGGTGCATGGGCTTCGCCTCGCCGGACCTCCCAGGGTGGGCTCTGCCTCGCTCGACCCCGAGGCCACGATCTCCGCCTCGCCCGACCTCTAGGGGCGGGCTTCGCCTCGCTAGACCCCTTGGGTGCGGGATCCGTATCACCTGACGGGGGCCCATACCGCCGCCAACCACTCTAGATCCAAACATATGGGCCAGGGTCAAAACTCTGACACCAAGGGAGAGACCGGCATGCCCCGATGTAACCCGCGGCCACGATAGGCAATATCTGAGGATTCACATCAAGAACGAAGATCAGGCGTATTTCGGTGTTGTTTCGCTAACCTCTCATTTAACACCGACAGTAGCGTTAGTTCACAACGATGTCCGCCAGGATGGAGTGGAGTGCCATGACCGGCGGATGATGCCTGCACATGGTGCCAGTGATGGACAGGACCGCGATGTGGAGCCGTCCCCGTTGACATCTACAGAGTCAGCGGGACCCGTATGAAGGAGAAAAAGCACCCGGCGATCCTGAAGGCCTTCCTCTCTCCTGTTCTTCTCCTTTTCCTCCGCTATAACCCATGCTTTCCCTTGGCCTATAAAAGAGAAAGCAGGGCATCCCATGAGAGGGATCCCGAACTGATCGACCCATCAAGATCCGATACAGATCCGCACAAGAACACGACATGAACGCACAGCCGAGCAGCTATCGAGCTCTCAGCACCTACTCACTCCTTTTACCAGAGATTTGGGGTCCTTTCCGTCTCTCGCTCGTTTGTAACACATACTACAAACTTTCAGTGCTAGTAATACGAGCAGCAGTGATGAACTGGACGTAGGGACTTTCTGCCTGAACCAGTATAAATCTCGGGTCCTCTAAGCATACCATCCGAGCTAGACGTGCAATACTAGAAATTTACTCATCGATGGTAACTCGAAACACCGCCACGTCCTTTATTAGCTGCTGAAAATGCTCATCCCTTCTGACTTTCCAATCAAAACCATTGTCGGTGTTAAGAACTGTTTACACCAAAATTTGAGAGAAAGAACGCGGAAACTCGCAGGCTTCCAAGATTGTGCCAATCAAGGAGAATCGATGTCAGCCGACTCAGATACGACTCTGGAATCGGGTCTCTTGGGATGACGTCAGCGGATAGCGACGATGAATTCGGTTGGTGCCAGGGAACTACATATCGGACTCTACAAAAAGGGAAAGATTAGAGTCTAAGTTATCTTAAATTAGGAATATTTTTGTTTATACCAAGGATTGTAATGAATCGTGCTCGAGTAGGATTCATGTTTAGACTCCGGGTATAAATATCAGACCCCGGCTATTGTAAAAGGAGAATCAATCAATCCAATATACAAGTTATTTACCTTTTCGGCTCCGGCCACCCCTTAGGAGTAGGAGTAGAGTAGATCTTGGTGAGTTCTTCAGCAAGTACGGCTGCATCAATCCGGTCGATCTCCACTGCTTGTTGTAAGTATCGTCATGGCTTATACATCTGTTCGTACGGCTGCATCGATCCGGTCGACCTCCACTGCGACTCTAGTATAAATTAGTTATCGATTCTTGCCTAGTTCAAGTATGGTTGCATCGATCCGGTCGACCCCCACTGCATGAACTAGATCAAGATCAAGTTATCGGCTCTACCTTAGGATGACAGTCTTTGGTAGATTCATTAAGTTACCGATATTATTTATTGCTTTCATTATTTATTTAATTACAGCAATATCATTCTGCCTGATTGGGATTGATCTAGATCGGCCTTATATCTTGTTTAGCCTATCATTTGCTAACCTCAAATTGATCTAATCTACATCTTAAACGATGAGTTATGTTTTATCGGCTGTTTTATGTTAATCCTGATCGTGCATAGTGTGCGGTTAAGGCGTGTTGCGTCTTGAGTAGATTTATTGGCTAATGAAAACCGTTCCATGGCCCGTTATTACGGCATGTGTGATTCTGCCTCATACTCCACTATTAGCACCGTGGAGTGGGGACCGTTATCTAGTAGATCTATTCTTGATAAGGTATGACTTTAACTGTGCTCTATGCCTAAATCGGCTGTTTTAGCCGATATCGAGCGCTTTCACGAATAATTCGCATCACGAGACCGTTGAAGTAAAGATAGGTTGAAAGATATGTTAGCCCCATGATCTTATTATTGTATTACGGCCTACATGATTCTGCCTCATGCCCCACTGATATTAGTAATGAGTTAGGGTCGTCGAATCTATTGTTATTTCTACGGCCTGCATAATTCTGCCTCATGCCCCACTGGTCATAGTGATGGATGAGATCAAACATGTTCATTAGATTTATCTTTATTAAACGGTTAAGTGATGTTGAATTGTTTCTTTATATAAAAAGGGGTTCGGTTACTTATAATCATTGGTTCTGCACAAACCGATCATTGTTGATATCTTATTGTCATTGATTAATATATGTTCGATCAATGATATTTGCCCTGAATGATAACCGATTCTTCTTATACAACCCAATGAGCTTTAATCGATTTATTCTCATGAATACGCTGGAATCGACTATTTAGTCGATCTTCTTTCATATCGGCTCTCATAGCCGCACATTCGGGACTGTCTGGCAGCACTGGCAAGTTCTACCCTTAATTACTGATGAACTCTCTCTCCTTGTCAATTACAGGGTCAAATTGATTGGCACGTTTCAGGAGGAGTGCGCAGGATCGACCACCCTTGCGCTGAAGCTAGGCGGATCTGCTCCATCGAGCGAACCCTTCTGGCTTGCTGCGTGTGTCCTCGGCACGGGACGAAAATTCTATGTCGACACACATTTCTGGCACGCTCGATGGGACACCACAATCATCATGGCGGTTCACAACAACAACAACATCCTTATGCTGCATTATGAAGATCTACCTGATGGGGATAAGGGTATCATCAGCAAAGCTACAGAAGAGTTTCAGAACAAATGTTTGTTGTCCTACACCAAAACACGTGACAACACAATTATTCAGAAATTTCCGCTACCAAGAGTTCTATTACATGGACAGACGGACACAACTGAAGCTGAAGACAGACGTTTCTTTAAAGAAGTTGTGTACAAATCTATTTGTGATGCCATATCAAGCCATAACGAAGCTTTCGTGGACGTATTCCATAACGCCTTGAAAGAGGCGATTCATGGATTTCCAGTTGGTCAAGGCGAACCAGCTTATTACAACATTCCAGATCCATCGACCCAAGGAACCAATCAAGTCAGTACCACCCATCAAGAAGCAGCACCAGCTGGTAGTGGTGATGTCCAGACAGTTTAGGGTTCATCTGAGCAAACTCAAGGAACTACTGTAAAACAAACACAGTACAATCTTGGACCATCAGTACAGCATGTGCAACAGCCGGCGAGGCAAAATCAGAACCAGGTGATCAATTTTGGCACATCAGGCCATATACCGTCGTCGGCTCAAAAAATAGCACCATCAATTCAAAGAATCCGTAGAGATATAGATCATTATGTCTATAATCAGAGACTTCAAGCAGTAGGCCAGCAAAGGACCTAGCAGGTTGAGATTCCACAAGGATATCACTATGGCACAGATTATAATACCCTCCACTTGATGCCAAACCCAGGATATCAAGGCACGCGAGATTTCAATCCACAGATGGGTCAGCAGGTGTAGAGGAATCTAAATCTGCAAGCTGATGAATTGTTACTGAGGGTGACCGAGATGATGAAGAATCGGTTCGGTCTGAAGCAAAAAGGGCTAACCTTTTCGTACAAACGCCCATATCAACCATGCATCAGTGTTTAATTCAATGGCATGGAGGTGACGT